ACATATCACAACTAAAAAGAGGATTGAATCCCATTTAAACTTCAAGTACAAGTCAATTCACCAGCTTTTTCCTTTGTTTAGTTTGCCGTCTGAACCTGTGTTGGAATCAGTGCTTGAAGTGGGCCGGTACGCACCGGTACACAGTACCGGCACTTCTATATTTTAGTGTTTAGGAGTACCTGCACTTTTTTGTGCGTACCGCCACTTCTGACATGTTTCCAGTACTCTGAGTAAAAGCGTCAGTGTCTGGGTAATTAGAAATGACACTATATAAATCACACTACCCAGGCGGAATCACCTCTCATCTCGACCAATCACGTGAGCGAATTCAAGCGGAATAGGTCTACCTCATGTGTGGGGTGCCAGAGCATGTCAGAGGAGGCGCGTAGAGTAGTATAATTAATTAATTAATTAAAAAATAATTAATTATTGATTACTAATTTGAATCAGTACTTTATAACGAAAATAATACCTTAAAAATGAAAAGAAGGCAGGCTTTTGCGATCACATCAAACCGGTAAACTCCTGGAATGTCCAAGGATCCAGTAAATTAATTCAGACAGCAAGTTCAAAACAGCGCTAATGCAGAGAAAACATGGCTGATTTCATTGCGGAGAGAATAGTGACTGACGTCCAGATGTCATTAAATTATTCTGTTCAGTGTGTATTTGGCTTAAAAGCAAGAGTGTTTTATAATAGACGCTGGCTGAAGGTAGTGCTGGGCGGTATACCGGATATGGTTAACACCCGGGCATGCATGAAAAAAATACCGTCATGTACCGTGAAACCGGTATAATTTAGAAAAATACCGTGATATCAATTTTTGGTCATACCGCCCAGCACTAGCTGAAGGTGGTCAGAGGTTTAGTGATTCTGAATGGATCCATATAGTTGGTTTAGTGGTCTTTGGCGTCTCCCTGTGGTCCTGTTTGGTATCGCAGATTGACTTGTGCTAATTTGTACTGAAAACTTTTATTTAATTATCGATTGATTGATTGATTGTGGGGGGTGAGTACCGGCACTTCTTTTTTTCCACTTCAAGCACTGGTTGGAGCTCTTAATTTTGAACTCTCAAAGTGTGAATAATGCGAAAATTAGGGTTATGATTTAATTTAATAAATATGAGTGCTGCACGTTTCAAAGTCAAAACACGGCACGGGTGTTTTTATATCAATATATCTCTATATATTTGTCTTCAGAAAAGGTTCAATGTCATTTTTATTTAATCTTGCCTATAATGCCTGATAAAGTAGCGTTAATGAGCACAGTGCTGCTTTTTATACAGCTGTTGCCAGGGAAACTACTACGTTATTGCTGTTTCAAAAGCGCCACCTGCTGGCAGAGAATGAATATACATTTTCAATCAGCACGTCTACTGTTTCTGTTCAGACCATTACAAAAATCGATGCATATTTTTATGAAGCAGTTGTAAATGTGAACCGGTGGATTGGTAAGAAGCTAATATGACTTATAAAAATCTAAACAGTTATGTCACTAAGATACAATTATATGTTTTAAATTGACATAATAATATAATAATTGATCCTTTTGACTCATCCCTTTTCTTGGCAGGTTAGGCCACACAGCATACATATAAGAGAAAAGACCCTACCGTTCAAATTAGATGTAATGCAGTTACTGTGAGATGAAAATTTTAATCATATGACATTTAAGTGATATTGCACAGAGGTCTGCTCACTTCTGTTGTACACTAAGCTTGCCACGGTATGCCAAGGTAATACCGGTTACGAAGACAGATACCGGTATGAAATTTTCAGTTAAACTTGACGACAACAGCTGGTATATTTATATACTAACAAACAGAATACCCTTCAATGATGTATAGTTGCCAGTAAACATTAGAACAGGCTCCCACATTTCCACAGCTCTCCTTCTCAGGGCTGTGTGTTGAGCCCCCTGCTCTATATCCTCTACACATACGACTGCACCACCGTACACTCCAGCAACACCTTCATCAAATTTGCAGACGACACCATAGTGGTGGGGCTCCTCTCAGGGAATGATGAGTCTGCCTACCGGGACGAGGTGGAGCGCCTGTCAACAAGGTGCAATGACAACAATATGATCCTGAATACGTCAAAGACAAAGGAGTTAGTTATCGACTTCAGGAGGGAAAAAAAACAATATCCAACCCATAGTCATTGGTGGGAACTGTGTGGAACGGGTCACAGTCATCCGTTTTCTGGGAGTCTGCATTGAGATGGACTTGACCTGGGGCAGGAACACCACAGAACTGGTGAAGAAAGCACAGCTGAGACTCTACTTTCTGAGGGTTCTCAGGAAGAATAACATTGCTCAGAGTCTGCTTGTATCACCGCTGCACTGTGGCGTATAAAAAAAGAGCTCCAGAGGGTCATCGGAACTGCAGAGAAAATCATTGGGTGCCCTCTCACAACTTCACGGTTCCCGTTGTCTCAGGAGTGCTCACAGTATCATAAAGGACTCATCACACCCAGGCCACTCTTTGTTCAATCTGTTACCATCAGGCAGATGGTACAGAGCCATTAAAACAAGGACAAACTGACTCAAACTGTTTTTATCAAATAGCTGTACAAGCTTTAAATACCTCATAACAAATGTGAAATAAGGGATTTGATTATTAAGTATTTGCACTTTGTTCATGTGTGTTTTATGTGTTTTGTGCAATTTTTGAATGTACGTGGGTGTGTGGTTGTTGTTTTTTTTAGAATGAGAGACCATCCATTTTTTTCGTTTGCACTGTTGGACAAATCATAATAAAGGTATTCATTCATTCATGCTTTTCTTGCTTCTCATACGTACATGTACTAATGGCTTCCGGCTTTGCTACTGTTCGGACGCTCTTGCTTACTGCTCCGTGCTTTGCTCTCCGTTTATGTACTTTTCTCAGATTTTAACTCCAGCAACACATTTAACACATTTTTGGCAGAAACACTAAAACTAAAAACTTTTCGGGACTGGAATATTATATAATATCCCACTGCCAGCAGTTTGCATTCCAGAGACGGGAAAACACAGCTGCATACATTCAAACAGAAGAGAAAGAAAATGCCTCTTGTGGAATCTACTTGCTGCATGAACTGCCATTAACTTCTACAAAGGATTGCGGTTCTTGAAACAAAGTTTCAAAGAATCAAACATTAATTGCAAAAATAATTCACAATATTATTGGTTTGATGAATAAAATACAACAAACAAAAGCAAATCCCTTTAATATCAAAAAGAATAATCAAATAAAAACACATCTAACCTTGGAGGTCTTCTCTCCTTTGAAATATTCCAGAGCATCATAGAGGTGACTGTAAGGTCTAGAACGCTTGCCCTTTCCAACATAGAAAACAGCACTGATGAACGTCTGAAAACATTCTTTAGGATTCATGGACTGACTTCGATATGGTAGATTCTTCGTCACCCTATAAAGCAGCAGTAGGGAAAAAATGTTAGCAAACAATAAAAGAAACAGTCATTGTCCAAATAAAGACAACACAATGTGAGAGAAACCATGTACCGTGGGTCAAGCAGCAGGTAGTTAAAGCTGGATTTAATGAAACCCTCACGCCATCTCTTATTCTGATCTGGCTTATCAAACTGCTCACACAGAGCGAGCTCATCTGCTTGACAATTAGGAAGTACGAATCTGTGAAGCACATTTTCGAGTTCTGGGCTGTAACCTGCAGCTGAGAAAGAAATAATTGCTCTTTAAACACAAGGAAGCATGACACTTATATGCTATCACTGATCTTCTTCTCTTTTATTACAGAGGAACCTTTCAATTAGTCATCATCATCAAATACGATACAAAATATTAGACCCGTTTGACATTAATTTTCATGATAATGTAATGTTAATGTTCATGTTGTAAATGAGAATGGCAACTAGTCATTGTATGAAACACAAAACTAAAAATGATTTATTCATGTGACTTTTGAGTTCCAGTTATATAACTACACGTTTGTAAGTAGGCATGCTGGTGGCCTCCACATAAAAGCTAATGGACCACATGGCCACCTCTTGAGTACCTTGGCTTTATGTAATTCACGAATGCTTTCTGTTTTGGCATACATACCACTGGGGCTCACTGCGACTGATTTCTGGCTGTGTGGCGTATTCTGAAGGGATCTCTTCAACTTCTGTACGTACAGTGGGCGGGTTTGACTGTTTATGGGTCCTGGATATTCTCCCATTTCAATTAACTTGCTTCTGAGGTCCTTGTCAGTTAGGCCACTTACTCCAACATCACTCTCCTGTTTGGGAGGATAGCTGTCTGTGCTACGGTCTGGACTTGTAGACCCGAGCTGAAGGGAGCGCCAATCATACAGCAGTGTGTCCTCAGAGCTATTGGTGCTTATGCTAGAGCTGAAGGAGGTATTGGCCGTTGGGGGAACATGGGTCTCAATGAGCTCATGGCCCTCTTCAGTGTCAGTGTAAAGGTATTCCACAGGCTCATCCGTATCAGTAGTTAAGGGCTTTCCAGCAGATGTGCAAGAAAGGTTTGCCAATGCCTGTCGCGAGCGGCCTGACAGTCGGCTCATGCTATACCGAGGAGTACATCCAGAGCGCCCTGGATTAGCACCTGGATTCTTCTGTGCTTTTGGGGATTCATACATCAAGCTGGAGGCAGATTCTGAGTTATCTACCTGAAATGGCAAAGACCCTTGAGAGGCAAGTCCACACGTAACACTGGACTCTTTGTCTCCTACAGCAGTAGGGATGATCTGTGGCATCCCTTTTGCAGTTTTCTTCACTTCTTGCATACCAGTCAAGCATTCAGGAGTGGTTACCTTATTACCAGCCTCACTGACACTCGTTTCCAACTGTGATTCAACAATACTTTCAAAAATTAACACCGTGTCAGCCATGCTGTCCGATAAGATTAGTGTGTCAGCTTGGCTTTGACCATCTGAGCTTACAGATAACTTGAGAGAGCTCAACTGGGAGTCAACATCCTCCATTTTGTCCTTATCAAGACTGTGCTTTGACGTACCATAAGGCGACTTAACCGTGTTGCGGCGCAGTCGGATAGCGGTGGGCAGCGTCTGTTCAAAGAGGCAAGAGCTGGCTTGAAAGGAAGCCAATTTTTGGCTCATTCTCTCTGAATGACGACTCAATCTGGACCTTGTTCTTCCAGTGACAAATGGACTTGGAATACAATCAGTTTCAGTACTGGTCACCGCAACCTTACCAGCATCTCTGCCAGTTGCAGATAAACTCGATTGTTCAATATGTCTCCTGACTACTTCTTTCAGCTGTCTGTTTCCATCACCAACAGAAGTAAGACTTTGATCTCTAACTCTGAAGCCACACTGCTCTACAGTCAAATCTGATTTGTGGGCACAGGGTTCGGTCAAAGGTGGACTTGCATTGTTTTCAGTGCTAGGGCTCAGGCATGGGTCACTGCCACAGCTGTTGTACTCGCTGGATCCACTGCTGATGTGGGGCTGAATAATGCTCTTAAATTCATCATCATCATCCTCATCCTCATCATCAAGTTGTACATGCCCCACAACAGTCTTATCAAATTCATCTTCCATCGTGTCAACTTCTTTGGAAAAAATGAATACATCGTCAGGACACGTGACATCGATTCCCTGACTCTGTAACACAGTTGCCATACGCTTAGTGTCTAGGAAATCTGGGTATTGAGAAAGGTCCGATGTAAGATCACTCGACTGATCGAGAAAGAACTGCTGATGATCATCTGGGCTGATAACAGGTAAATAATCAATACTTCCCTTGAAGGTGACACTCCTCCGGTTTTCCCGTTGAGACAAAACAGGGATATTCTGAGAAGCATCACAGTCAGTATCTGTGGCTTGATGCTGATATGTCGACACCACCCCTGGATTGTTCTTATTGTCCACAGCAGAGAGACAAGTACTAGACAGCATCGGTAATTCCTTACACATTTCATCTTTATTCCAAACATGAGAATCATGTGACTCGAGATCTGATATATCTGAGAGCCAGAAGGCCTGACTCTCTCTGATCAAAGGTTTTCCACTGACTCTGCAAGTGCTGGGAAAAGAGGACAGGCGTGTGCTGCTCAATGGTTCTGCTCCAGGGGGAATAAGCATTGAAGCTTCTGGACTGAACGAACTGTCACTCATGGACTGTCCAGAGAGGATTGCTAGAAAAAAGGAAGACAATATTATGGTAGTATAATAAGTTCTCCTTCCACAAATGATAGATAAAACGCGGTATTATCTTTGGCTTTAACTGCACACTTCTGTTAGAGCATGAGGCCTGATAATTAACCCAAATAATAACAACAAAAATTCTTACAATACTGGAATTTGGGCATGTCTTGCTCCTCTTTGGATGTATGGGATTCATACTCTTGAAGAAGACTAGCACATTTACTGTTCTCCTCCTGCTCTGCCAGATCAGATGGCTTATTCCCATCCTAGAAACAAAGCAGATAACACTTAAATTTTTAGTGTTTCCAACTTGCTATAAAACACAGACTTAAATACAGATCATTACAGCAGGTCAGTACTGGAGATGGTAATGCACTGAATGTTTTACTTGATCTGTGAGGTTTGGGTTTCCGCCGTTCCTTAAGAGTAATCTGAGATTCTGAAAACACCCCCAAGATGCAGCAATATGTAAAGGAGTCAGATCGTCAGTAGTCCTAAAACCAACCAACCAAAACAATAAAACATCAGGGTAACAGAGAAACACTTTCAAGGACTTTTCAAAGCACTATTTTTTTGGTTTTCAAGGACTAAAACAATATCGATATTATCTTTCAAATTCTAATAAATAAACAATAAATGAACAAAATGGTACAAGTATAGTGCAGCACATGCAAAGCATGCAACAACTGTGGCAACTTTCAAATCTGAAAGGATACTATGGCAAAGTTATTCAAGCTGATTTCTTTTTTCATGAATATATGATTGACCTGAAGAATGAAAGCTATATTACACATGGAAAATTATGAGCTATATCATTTGACTACTTCTGGACTGTTGAACAAAAACACCCGCCTATGCCATTATAAAGCTCGGAAGAGCAAAGACCATTTTTAATATAACTCTGATTGGATTCGTCTGAAAGAAGAAAGTAATACACACCTAGGATGCCTTGAGGGTGAGGAAAACATGGACTAATTTTCTTCTTTTTTTTTGTGAACTTTCCCTTTAACACTGACAAGGAAATCCCTAATATGGACAAAGATATCTAGTTATTGCTGTAGCTACAGAAATGTTAACTGATGAAACTTGAAGACAATAAACATACGATTGTGACAATATATGGTTTATCTGTGTTCTTCAAGCAGTCTTGGGTATTTTTGTGTGTTCTGAAGATGAACGGAGGTATTACGGATTTGGAACGACATGAGGGTAAGTAATTAATGACAGAATTACACAAAGAGGAGAAAATACTGTAGCAGGCAGAGCAAACTCACTTTTCATGATGCGCAAAATATTGGAAGAAAATCTTAAAAATCTTAAATACTGAACTGTGGGATTATCTGAATCTCTGAGAGGAACTAACTGTCTTCAGGAAAGTTTAGATGGTGTTTTCTTTTCATCTGGTCTCTGTATATTGCATATTAATGTGGTATTTATAAGCGCAGCACCACCTGCTGTCAGAGAGTGAATCTGCGTCTCATTCAGCCCGCCTGCTGTTTCTGTTTACTTCAGGCATGTTTCATGTAGCATCATTTCACAAAGCTAAGGTCAGACCATTCTGGTTTTGCGTCAAATTTTGAAATTATACAATCTAATTTACATCAAAAACTGCTCATGCACATGTTTGTAACATGTTTGTTTGGATCGTGATTAAAATGCAGTGTTTCTGCAACTGTTCCATGCATTCTGACTCATATAAAGGCACAGTCAGGGACAAACCGTGAAACCGTCAGAATCCTAAAAAAAAAAAAAAATGATACAGATTTTTGGTCAAATCACCCAGCACTAGCCATATCCAGGTGTCACACTAACCGGCAAAGCCCTGTGCACAGATGCAAACTCCTCACCTTTCAGTGACAACTCACCTTTTTTTATATCAAAATAGGTCACCTATGAGATTTGCTTAGATCCCATTAGAAAGTGTTTTTATGGTGGGGTGTTTTACAAGGGTACTTGTGATCTTACAAGGGTAAATAAAGAAGTAGTATTTTCTTTACTCTTTACTTCAAAAACTGTTTAAAAAGGGTAATATGTTATGTATTTGAGGTCTGAGATGTGGGAACGGCCATCTAATCAGCCAATATTGTCCTAAATAGCCTGCATAGCACTTCATCTTTTATAACATGGGATTTTGACCAAATATATTCAATCTTGATTTTTGTAAAATGTTGCAACAAGATGTTAAAAAAACTTTTGTGTGTGTGTGTGTGTGAGAAAGATCACAGTTCAGAAGCTTCACAGTTTTCAATATTCTCAAGTTTTTTTTTTTACCCCTTACCTGTGTGCATCTCTGCCTATGTATAGTCAGAATGTTATATTTACAATATGGTAACACTGGTGTATCCTATGCGGAAGTGTTTCTTTTCAGAATAACTATTTACAATAAACCATACATTTCACATATTTCAACAGGGCATCTTGAATTCATAATATTCATTATTCATTTTACATTCTTAAATGCCAAAACTTCAACAACACAAGGGCAGATCCCTTGAGCGCAGCTGATGACGCTCGAGTGATCAAGAATATTCTAATATCCAATGAATACGTTTCCTTCAATTCCTCCGTCCTCGTTTTCTTCCCTCGCATCCTAAGAGGGTGGAGCGGAGTAGTAGTATACATTTACTTAATGCCATGTCAGCATCTAAGGCTATTTTCACGGTAAAAACTATTTAAAAATACAAGTATAACAAACAAACACAAGTTATATTGAGTGGAGCTGAGACACGGGGAAAGGAGGCATAAGAAATGAGCAGCACCCAATGACTGGGTTACTAGAGCTTCTTTTATTACACTGCTAATTACCAACTGATTAAACGGACGTGAAATATAGATCTGAGTTATTTTATTAGATGATTTGTATAGAGACCCTAGACAGAAAGCACATCTGTGCAGGAAACCCTGTCCCAGATGAGTGTTCGGCTCTACAAGCATTGCTCTGAACGAGCAGTCAGAACAGAAGCAGACTGCTGGAAAGCTGCTGTCGCTGGAGATAACAGCGGAGAAGTGCTGCTGTGACTGACCTGAGGTTCGGATCCGCTCCGTGCTGCAGAACGAGTTTGAGGCAGCGCAGTCCTTTCTCAGACTCTTTACCTGCAGCTAAATGCACCGCTGACACTCCGTCCCCGACGATCCTGTTCGGGCAAGAATATTCTAATATCCAATGAATACGTTTCCTTCAATTCCTCCGTCCTCGTTTTCTTCCCTCGCATCCTAAGAGGGTGGAGCGGAGTAGTAGTATACATTTACTTAATGCCATGTCAGCATCTAAGGCTATTTTCACGGTAAAAACTATTTAAAAATACAAGTATAACAAACAAACACAAGTTATATTGAGTGGAGCTGAGACACGGGGAAAGGAGGCATAAGAAATGAGCAGCACCCAATGACTGGGTTACTAGAGCTTCTTTTATTACACTGCTAATTACCAACTGATTAAACGGACGTGAAATATAGATCTGAGTTATTTTATTAGATGATTTGTATAGAGACCCTAGACAGAAAGCACATCTGTGCAGGAAACCCTGTCCCAGATGAGTGTTCGGCTCTACAAGCATTGCTCTGAACGAGCAGTCAGAACAGAAGCAGACTGCTGGAAAGCTGCTGTCGCTGGAGATAACAGCGGAGAAGTGCTGCTGTGACTGACCTGAGGTTCGGATCCGCTCCGTGCTGCAGAACGAGTTTGAGGCAGCGCAGTCCTTTCTCAGACTCTTTACCTGCAGCTAAATGCACCGCTGCCACTCCGTCCCCGACGATCCTGTTGGGGTTGGCACCGCCACGCAGCAGAGACTCTACACACCTGCACAACGACAGATTATCCTCACATCTGCTGTATGAGCACTGCAGCAGTCTGAACTGACACACGCTGCGCCAACATGACACATGAGGGGCTTAGCCCAGAGAATACACCGGATGCACTTTAATAAAATGCTAGTAAGTTACATTGGCTAAGTGGCTTTTTTTTTTTTTAAACAGCCAAGTATAATTAAACATGCAGGGATCTGTACAGTACACTTATTTTGTTAAGAAGCTATAGTACATGTATTTACACTGCACTTACAAATTGCAGAGATATGAAATGACTGGGGGGGGGGGGGGGC